TCCTGAACCATCTGGGGAGGGATTCACAGCAAGGAGGGATCAGGAGAGCCAGGGCTAAATCCTGCTCCAAGCAGGGCTTATGGCATTGCTGGCCAGACCCACATATGTGGGCACATCTTTCAGGAGTTATAAGGCTGTGGGAAGGTGAGCAGGATGTGGTAGGGAGAGCAACAGCTACTGCTACGGCAGGGTAAATGGATGTTTTGGACAGAAATGTATTTTCTGTGGATGGTCTGGATCTCCACTCAGGATGGTAGGAAAGGACCTCTTACCTTCTGCAGCTCTCAGCAGGGCTGCCTGCAGGTGCTGAGAAGGCAGACATGCCTTGTCCTGGTATGGACACACTGGGAAAGCTCTGAGCTCTTCCACTTGGTTAAATTTGTCACTCTAGCTGTGGCTTAGAGAAAAGCCTTCCCTCTCCCCGCCCTCCTGCCATCAAGAAGCTGCTGAAGGAATCAGGTCGTTGATCCCGCAGCAGTGAAGCCCCTAATTAGCCCAGCTTCTTGGAGTCTGCCAGGAAAGCCGACTGTGTGTGAGGCAGCTCTGAGACCCACGGTCCTCAGTGTGGAGGAGAGGGGCCCTGCACAGGCAGAAGTCTGGAGAAGGAGAAAATGGCAGCGCTTTGATGCATTAAATATGAGGAGAGCCTGCCCAGCCTGATGACTTCTCCCCATGTTCCCATGCCTGGAAGGGGAGAAGGAGACACACTTTCTGGGTGGCAGTGGGCGCAGGTGGGCATGGAGCTGGGCTGGCTGCAGGCGGGGAAAGCAGCAAGGAGAGGCAGCTCTTCCCAAATTCCTCTTGCAGGCATTATGTACACGTGAAGCCCCGGCTCCCTTGGGCTTCTCCTCTCATACACATTTAATAATGATTGCTGGGCTGGGTAATAAATTGCTGTTTAATAGCAAATCGATCTGGCAACCCGTGTGAGCACAAGTGCTGGCTGCCAGTCCCAGTGGCTGCCGTACACGGAGCCAGCACACTGGCAGCACAGTGGCCTGGAGCCCAGCCGCAGCACCTCTCACCTTGGTACCCAGCTGTCCCATATGAGCTCTACTCGCACATGCTGCGGGTGCCAGCAGAGCCCACACACCAAGGCAGGATACAAGTGATGGGTGTTTTTCCCCCCTTGTAGCTAGGAGTGGTTTCCTGAGATTGGCGTGGCTTTTACCATCCTGGGGGGGCCGTGACACTGTGATATCAAGTCCCTGGTGTCTTGAAACACCTTGGCACACATGGCTGTGGTGTGCTTAAGGTGATGACCTTTGGAGAGATAAATCCCTGGCACAGAGCCTATGCTCTAAGGCAAGGACCAGCAGCCTGGGGATGTTGGCCAGTGGCCCAGGCCCCATTGTAGCCTTTATCTTCTCATCCTTGTGGTTCCCAAGCAGTGGTGGAGCACATGGCAGCCTGTACCCTATGGCACAGGGCACAACACACAGGGCTGTGCAAACTCACGCATGAGGACACGTGCCAGTGGCCCCATAGTAACTTGCACGCTGCTGAGCAGGGACATGCCTTGCATGGCGATATGCACACCGATGAGCGCAGATGTGCACACGAGGACACTGGAACACACACGGCAGCATACGGGGTCGCACTGCCAGCGCACGAGGTTCACACCGGCACAGGGGGTGTGCACACCGGGCCGGGGATGTGGAGGATGCTACACGGAGGGGGTGG